ATCATAACAAAGAAATGAATAGCAGAAACAATTCATCTTTCAAGTTGTGCAGAATCATAGAAGATGCTTTTCTAACAGCAAAAAGGAAACAATAACATTGTAAAAGTGAATAACCATACCAAAGTAATATAGTTATGTAATTATACTGTTGTACATCTAATGGAATAACAATATACTTTAAATAAATCATTTATAATACATCAATTTGTCTTTATATCATGTAGTACATACAGTACCAGGCCAAAGCAGTCTAGAACTTCAACTTCATTGAGCAACTTCTGAATATGGTCCAAAATGGATAAATTTGACATTTAATGTTTCTTTATACATTAGAACAAAATTAGATGGTGAGAGCTTTAGAATTTTTAACCTGAAATTTTTCTTACAAATAAGGACCATCATCATGAACATGGGTCACATTTAATTTCATGTACTATTCCTTTGGTGTTCTTCAGACATGGGTAATTGTAATCAATAATCTTAATCAATTACATTTTCAAACTAATTGTAATCGTAATCAGAAATATGTAAGGCCTAGTAATTGCAATCATACTCATAAGGAATTGTAATCATAATCTGTGATTACAATATGATTACATTTAAAATTCTGGATGTCTTTCTGCTTCAAAAAATGCATTTCTGGCATTAACATTTTTGAAGTGGTTTTCACAGCTTTCCAATTTTCTGCACACAAACAAAAGATTTTCAGACATCAATTCATTACCCAGTAAGTCAATGCCCCTCAGCCCTGGATCACTAAGTTTAGAGGAGCAAGTGTGGTGAATTAAAAAGTAATTATTCATTCCTAGCCCAAGATAAGTGCATCTCCAGATTGAAAGCTAGTTTATAGTTTCATTCTGGTGCACTCTAGTGGTAATCTAGGATAAGTGGTAATCGTAAGTTAATGTTGCAAAAACTGATGTATTTTCAAATGGCAGCCACCAAAACACCAGTTTTCATCATTTCAATACTCTTACGACAGAAGTACTTTGGGCAGTTATAAGGCAAAATGTAAAAACTGTTCAATATCAATTTCTGCTACAGGAAAGACTACATCAAAATTGCTTAAGCATCTGCAGGTAATGATTTTTTTTTCTAGTAGACATTTTTTTTGTTATCTGTGAAGATTATTTAGATTGATTCAATAAAATATCATTTACCGTCAATCCATCATATCATTGTGGATATTTATTTCAGGCTTCAGTCTGATGATGATAGATTGATTGTCAGACTTGCTATAATGTTAGTCAATGCTCTAATTTCAAAACCTCATTAAATGTTATTTTTTCAGAGGATGTTTATAAAAGTCTCAACAAAACAGGTCAGTCAGAGCAAGTTAACCAACCTGGATTACTTTCCTTTGTATCCAAGCAACAAAATCCTACTAAAAAATGGCAATCTTCAGATCCAGGTCAACAACAAGCCATCACAGAGACTATTGTCGCTTTCATTGCCAAAGATTTAATGCCTCTATCAATTGTTGACAGTGATGCATTTTCTAACTTACTTAGCATCGCACTGCCCCATTATACCATGCCTTCATGGAAACATCTTAATACAATGCTTATTTATCAACAGAATGCCTAATTGCATGCTGAAATCTTAACTCTCCTTTCCCAGGCATCTAAGATTTGCCTCACCATGGACATCTGGACAAATCAACAAATGAGATACTTTTTTGAAATGATTGCTCACTTCATTATTGATTTCAATATGCGAAGTGTCATGTTGGCTTGACGATGTTTTCATGCTGAAAATATTCTTCAATACTTTGAGAATATTGTCACATCATTTGGCATTCAAAATAAGGTGTCATGAAAATGCCTCAAATATGATGAAGACATTTCGCTTGCTTGAAAAAGCAGAGATACCACTGACCAATGAAGAGGATGATGATGATGTAAATGATGGCTATGCAGATGAAGAATTGCACCCAGTGTCAGTCACCCTTGAAAATACATTTTCTTTCAAATCAGCTCATTTCACCTGCTTTGCTCATACATTACAACTTGTCAATGATGGTCTAAAGGAAGCTGATTCTGTTAAGGGTGTGTTGAGCAAGATATCCCAACTGGTGTCCCATGTTTGACACTCCAATCATGCAACTGATCTATTTGAGGGTGAAGGGGAGGTATGTCTCCAATCGGCCAATGCAACCTGATAGAACTCTCAGCTTGCAATTATTGGATCACTCCTCAATGTGTCTGAATCTACTATGCAGAAAAATAAGTGGAAAAATCAACATATATGAAACCAACATGGCTAAGGAACTTGTTGAAATTCTGACTTTATTTGAATGGGTCACAGATGTGACTCAAGGAGAAAAAGTTACATCCAGCATTGTACACCCTGTTGTCCATGAGCTTCAAACTGAAATGCGCGAGTTGTCCTCAAAGTACAGCAGTACAATGGTGCAAACTCTCAAGACATCTGTAGATTGGTGATTTTCTAAAGTTGACTCACTTGTATTCAAGATTGCTGCTGCTCTCAATCCGAGATAGAAGTTGGCCTAGTGCACCCCTGAAGAGGTGCAGGAAGTGAGAGCAGCTCTGCTAGCCAAAGTAATCGCTGTGAACAGTGACACTCCCACAACTTCTTCGACTTCTAACTCTGATAGTGACAGCACTACACCACCACTCTGTAAATGAACCAACTTCCTCTGGTTCATGCAGGATGCGCCTCAACAGCCAACAAGCACAGGACCAAGACAAAGGCCAGACATTAAAACCAAAGTTTCAGAATATTTCAGTAGCCCATGTTTACCCAAGGAAGCTGATTCATTAGCATTTTGGAAAGAGCAAGCAGATCACCACAAAAATGAAGTTTTGGCAAGAGCTGCCTGCTTAAGCCTTCAGATTCCAGCTTCTAGCGCTCTTGTTGAATGACTTTTCTCGATCGCAGGCAAAGTCTTAAACCCAAAAAATGCAACTTGACAGACTATTGATTTGAACAACTGATGTTTATTCGCTGTAACAGTTGACTTTAAAAATTTTGAGAATAAAAATTCTGATTGAAACTTTGTTTTTTGATCAAGTGAGTGATATGTAATTAACTTGTTGACCTATTGTGAAATTTAATGAAAAAATAAAGTTTGTTTTTAATCTTTGATTTTCTGCTTTTTTCCTTAAAATGTAATTGTAATCATAGCCAAATAATCATAATTGTAATTGTAATCCAGAATTTTGGAGTGTAATTTTAATTGTAATCTCATGTTGTAATCGTAATCAGACTTATAATCCCACACTTGTAATTGACCACATGTCTGGTGTTCATTTGTATCTTATAACTTTGCCCAATGATGTTCTTTATTTTTGATTTTTTTATATGATTAATGAGTTGATGCTGATGTGCTTTTTGATGAGGTGTTTCCATATTCTGACAAGGTTGTTGCTGATATTCAGTAAAAGGGATAGTGGTTGTGATAAAGTTTTACGTTTTCTTGTTGGATTGAATATCTAATGGTTTCTTTGTTTTGTTTTCACTTATTTGTTTATTTTTTTTTAACTTTTTCTCCAGGATAACCATTTTTATGAATTAAAAGATTGGTTATTCTATTTAATTAACTGTTGAAAATGATAGGGGTATGTATGTTAAATACAATTTTAATTATATATTATAAGGTTCTAAGTTTTTTTGTAGTTGGCAGGAAAGATGACAGGGTTTCAGTTGAAAGTGGAACAAGTGAACATATTGAAAATTATTTCTAAGGGTGTTTAATGCACCTTTGGTGAACCATAGAACTCTAGTGTTCTGACTTTGCTATTCTGCTACAAACTGTTTATTTATTGACTAATGCATTACTTTTTTTTAATTATGTAAAACACAGTTCATCTAATTCTCTTAGATGGAATTTAGTTTTCAACTAATATTATGTATTTTGACAACTCCCCTAAAACTTCATTCATTAATGTGATCTATTGACTGTTGTTGAGTATATAGGTTTATTTCCTTTGTCAGTTCTTGTGATGATTAAGCTAAGCTATATTTTTAAGTTCATTAATTCTCTCCATTGTTGTTTTTGCTAAATTTTCTTTAACTGTGTTATGTTTCATTAAACTCTTTGTGATTTGGTATAAAATTCTTCAAGAATTTTTTATGAGATCTGTTTTTAGTTTGGACAGGCATTTATCTTGAATACTTTTAGGGACCTTGAATATGGGTTCTTCACTTATGCAAATAACCCTCAAACAACTTTGCACTAAAATCAACATACTTCTTTGAAATATTGGTGAGGTTCATATGTATCCAGTGGGTAGCTCTAGGTTTAATGTTGCACTAGTTAAAATTACCATTATTATTCTCATGTGGTGATCTGTGTTCTTATTTGTTGTCACTTTTCCAACATATAAGATGTATACATAGTTAATACTAACAGTTTCCTGTGTTTACAGTTTAAAGGTACATTATTTGTGTGCTTCTGGTTTGTCTTTTACAGAGTTTACTATGTTGACTGAGATGAGATGTTCTTAAAAGTTTCAGTTCATCTGTGTTGTTCACTGATATACTTCACGTCACACACCATACCCACTTTTCTTCAAATGTTTTAATTAACAGTGTATTTAAAAAATTTTAAGAACACACACACACACATTTTTCTTTTTTGTAACTTGCCAGATTTTTTATATATTTATTTAGTAACAGGTGAATAGGTTCTTTTTGAAATAAGTATTAAAAAGGATTAATAGATATCATTAAACTCCAGTAGATTTCTTTGCATAACTTATAAAGAGTTATTTTAGATCTAAATTGTAATTTCTTTTAATTTGAGAATATATCTTTATCACAACAGTACCTTGAAGACTCATGTCAAGAAACTTAAAGTGGTTCTTTTAAATATAGTCCATTTAGCTTTAAAAGTGACATGAGTAATTTATCTCTGTTATTGTACTTGTAATAAATATAGTTTCTTTGTAGACATTTTGAGAACATCTTGTGTATTTCTGTATAGTCTGTATATTATTAAAACTATTAATTGATTTTCTGTGAATATTTCTGACTAGGAACTACACTAAATTTGCTCAAGTTCCCAATCTTGAGACCAAGTGGTTGGAGGCTGTATTATAGGACAATGAGGCTAATAGAAGATAAGAGAAAAGCTTCAGAAGAAACTAGGTTACGAAAATCTCTCTATCAGATGACTCAAAACCCAAAACATGCAACACTTTTGGGTAAAAATGTTAATTAAAGAATGTGTATTAATGTTGTTATATTGTAGGTAATGCAGTTTAGATTTATTGTCTCTAAAGTACTTTATTAAAGTTGTGGTTACAGTTCATTTCCAAGACAAGGTGAAAAATAAGGAAAAGTGAATATATAGAAAAAATATAAATATTCTACTTTTAATTTTTTCTTATTCAATATTATTAAATTTGTCCTGCTTGCATCATACTACCCAGTTAGTTTTAGTGACTTGCATTACATATAATTTCTTTATCAGAAAATGTTTTGAATAGTTTATTAGTTTCATAGAGTTTTTGGTGATTGATTATTGACTATTTAAATATAATTCTGTTTCAGAGAAGATTTATTGCTTTATTAAATGTATATTTTTAGTATGATTGTTGTAGGCTTGCATTAAGAAGCCTCTCTCAGTCATATATTGAAAACTAGTTAATAAATTGCTACATTTATATAGTAAAACTGATTTGTTTTGACAACACAATATGTTAAAATATAGAAATGTATTAAAATCCATGTTGTTGAAGGATGGGTGTTGTACTGACATGTTTGCATATCCAACTAAAGTAAAAAAAATATAGCTGTGTCAGCCTCTTTGGACTGATTTTAAGCACTTTCATTACCATTTATACACGGTAATATACATAAACTAACATATGTTATCCTATCAATCAGTTTGGTATGAACCCTAAATAAGCTGTACATCAAAATAGCAAAATGTTGAACAAAATAAGTTCTGACTTATATCTTTCTATATCTGGAGAAAAGACTTTATTTTATTTGTTTTTAAATGACAAATATTCTGTAGTTAGCACTACAAACTATAAACTCAGAAAAGTCATATACATATTTAAATCCTATGTTCTGTTTGAAATTTAAAATAAGAAAAATCTCTGTAAATTAGATTTAAATTATTTTGCATACATTACCATCATTTGCATTTACACAAAAACTGGTGTCATGTGTACATGTGAAAGCAAAATGTTACAAATGATTTATTTACAGGCATGTATCATTATGACAGTATTGTTTAATATTCTTAAAACTTATTACAATATGATAACATTTTCATTAGTGAAAAACAAATTGATTTCTCTGAACCATATTCTACAGTGAATGCTATATAAATGTGACATAAATTAACTTCATAACCACATACTTTTAGCTATAAGGAATTAAGTTTTTTTATAGTGAGAGTTGATCATGTTATTAAAAATAATGTTCTAGGCCCCAGTTGCTCTTGGAACTTAAATCATTGATTGTACTCATGTGATAATCCAAAACACTGCAGTTTCCTTTGTAAGTAACTTCTTTGAATGACAGCAATGTCAGTATTAGATCACATGTATTGATAAACTTTACACAGACATTCCACTATATGTAGGCATTGATTTCTAAGACAATCTTTAAGCAGGCTTAGGCTCCATTCCTCATGAAAACATCCATTGGTTTCAAGGTGTTGCAGGAAGCTCATGAACGTTTGGATTGTGAATTGTTATTAACCTAAAATTTTTGTGCATTATCTTGTTAAGATATATGTTTAATTTTATCACAATGGCTTTACAGGTTGGAGTGTTTTTTTGTTTTTTTTTCATAAACATTGTGTTAACATAAAATTTAAGGATAACAAGGAAGCTATTGGTCCATCTAGGCATTCCCATCCACTGAACTTTGCAGATGAGGGCTTTACACTAGATTTGTTTTGTATATGATTTTAGAACTCATTGTTGTCTCCCATATGGTCTGCATGCAAGTTTTTATTCTTTCATGAAAAATAATAAAGGCTCTCTTATTTGGAATGTTGTTTCTTTAGCTCATCATCATTTTATTATCTCACTATATGAATATCCTTTCCCCAGAAATGGCTGTAGGATATATATCCAGCCATAAGTTTATCTGGGGTGACATTGCACTGTCAGATTTTAGGTATTCACTGTGAACCAAATATATGGCTACTAAACTTGTTTCCCATGGTGCTATGGCTCACTTCTATGTTGAAATGTCACAGTTTTAATGTATGTTAATCATTCTTATAAGGTTTGATTAATCCTGTCACATAAATAATTTTTGATTTGTCTGTAGATATTAACACACTGAACATGCTAGAATCATATACTTTACAATTTGACTTTAGTGTATTTATGTGGTTTTTCTATTGATTTTCACATCTAGGACATATTGGTATGACTTTCAGAAAAGAGCATTCTGAGCAGTCCAGAAAAATACCTTCAGCTAGGACTGTTTTCAATCCAGATGATCCAGAGTTTGCTAAAGGAAGATTTTGTTATGACACCCCAGGTGCAATTTATAAGGATCAAGTATGTGTACATAACTATTTTTTATTATTTTCAAAAGTAAAAAGAAATGTAGAATGATTTACAAAACTTGTTCTTCAATAATTAACAAGTTTGCATGTATTTTATAATTACAAAACTTAAAAATGGCACTTTACGTTATGACCGTGAGCGGTGGCACCATTTTAGACACATGTTTTTTAAGAGTTTACCCCTGACGTTAGACAGTGTCATTGGTAATGGTGACACTGTCCGATTAGATTGTATTTTTAATTTTTTACACACTATAGGTCTTTTTAATTATATATAAATCTTTTATTGACATATATTGGTTTTATCTTGCTGTATTTATAGATTTTACTTTAATTTACTTTCACTGTTTTTACCGGTTGTTTGGTGCAGATAGCCTTGTTGCTTTGCACCATAAAGTACCAAACAACATAAAGTGGGAGTGAATTGCATTTAAATTATAGACTATGTTAAATTGTTTTACCTAAGGAAACAACTTAGGCTTAAATAGTTGCAGATCAGTGCAATCATTTATTATACAACTTGTGCACTACAGAAAAGTATTGTTAATATTTTGAGGTATCATTTTTTTGATTACTAAGGTGACTTGTAAAGAAAGAAGAGGAATCACCTAATCACCCTAAATAGGACCAGGCATGGTGTAATGATTAGCATTCTCAGACTGTGAATCTGAGGGTTTATTGTTCATTATCCATTGCTATAGAAACATGCTCACTCTTGCATCTATGGGGGATATTATAATGCTACAGTCAATCCTACTATTTGTTGGTAAAAGGGTAGCCCAAGAGTTGGCAGTGGGTGGTGTTGAATAGCACAGATACTCCTCATGTAGACTTGCTCAAAATTCAAACCAAACAAATAAACCAATAGAAACATACTCTGTACTCTGGGTGTACTATAAGGGTAATGGGCAAATATCACTATTCCATCAGACAAGAGTATACCAAGAGTCGGTGATGGATGCTATTGACTAGCTGATAAGTACAAGTAGCATTTGTGTAGCTTATACACATAATTCTAAAACAAATATATCAGTAAGGAACAAATGCAACCACAGTAATGTAATAGTTGAAACACAGAAATGACTAAAATTAGCTTCCAAAACGGAACTACCCCAAGCTATATCAACCTTGATTTGCCCTCTAAGCATTGCTAAAATATTATTCGTTATTAACACACCAATCTATTACACCCTTTTTTATTCGCGCCATTTCAGAACATGTGCATACCATGTGAGTACCCTCCACCAATCATACTGTGCTGCCTATACTAGTGCAGGTAGCTCCCTCTATTATTCTAGTACAATCCCCACTTTCTCGATTGGCATTACAGTGTATAGATGTGTGTTTACTTCACTCCATATGCTTGATGTTTTGTTGTGATTGCGATTCAGTCCTTCACAAGTTTAAACTTAAAATGTTTGTTTTCGAATTTTAGTTTTGTTTTTCGAAGAAATTCTTCCATAATTTGAATTCAAATTTTATGGTGGCACATGATGAAGTTCCCACCAATATTGAGGATAATAATATCACTAGTCCCCTGAAGGTAGATTGATGATTTCTACCATAAAAGTTCAAGTTTTAATTCACAGGGAGTTGGACACTTTTGCTCTGGAGTCAGTTTGTTCTCCCTTTCCCCCCTGAACAAGCTTCTGAGGAAATATTTGTTCAGGGTGAAGATAATTTGGACTCTATTTTTCTGGCTCCAGCCTTTTTTGGTCAGTCATATAATGTTGACAGTCAGGAGAGTTTGCCGCCCTCACCGTTCCTACACCTTATTGATCAGGTATGTCAAATTTTAAATCTTTCATCCTTAGCCATTGATTCCTGTCTTACCTTGTTGGATGAAGAACCTTATTATGATTATTATGTTTTCTATTGCTCACCTGACATCTGAGTTCATGCTAAACGTTTTGCTGATCAATTGCTATTGGGTGCAGGTATGCCCCGTCCCCTTTGGTTGATGGATCAATATTTTTTGGCTTACCAGCGGTGCTCGAATCTGAGGACTTTGATCCACTTTAATCAATTTCAGTTTTCTAGGATTTGTCTTGTCTTGACCACCCTTTTGCATATTATTTCCTAATTACAGTTGTTGCTTCAATCCTTTCACCAGTCACCTGATCAATTTTCTGATGAACTCGGGACCCTTCTGTGGTTTACCCTGGCCTGTTTATTGGCATTTGCACTGTCTCTCAACACCTGGTTATTATATTGTTGAGATTTGCTGGGGAGAGATGCATTACTTGAGGGGGTGCATCTCCCCTGCCTTCTTTGAGGGATCTTCGTCAGGCCCCTTTTCTGCATGAAACATCTTTTTTTGGGTCTTCATGAGCCTTTAGAATCTAGGGTTGATGTGGGGAGACTACATTCCTCCTTGTCATTCCTAGCATTTTGCTTGCCTCATCTGGCTGTTCCCACTCAAGCTTCACTGGTTCGAGTTTCATGTGCCTCTTTTTCTTCTCCCCATCCCTCACCCTATTCCTGGTGTTCCCATTCTTACCCTTGTTCCTCATCTGTTTCAATTCTTTACCTGGTTGTTTGTTCAGGGTTTGTCCATGTCAACGGTTACTAATTATTGGGCTGCTCTGTCAGACACATTCTGTTTCTCTTGATTCTGTAAAGCTTTCGCCTCCACAGTTATTTCCGTCCTTTTCCATTCCTTTTGTCTTGTTTGTCCTCCACGTCCTTCTGTTCTTCCAGAATGGGATCTAAATGTTGTTCTTCATGTCCTGTCTGGTTCACCCTTTGAACCCATTGCTACATGTTCCTTGTACCATCTTTCCCTTAAGACCTATTTCTTTCTCCTCCTGGCATGGTTGTAGTCATTCTGATGTTTATGCCATTAATGTTTTCCATTCCTCTCATGTTATCCTTTATCCAGATTGGGCCTTCCTTATTAAGACAGCTGCTGCCTGTGAAGGTTGTTTCACCTTTTCTCCCATTTCCTTACAGTCTATTTCCCACCTGTACTCACGTTCAGATTTGGATTGTCTTTTTTGTCCTGTGCTTTCCCTGCGTTGTTACGAGACTCATATCACCTTCTTTCATAGCTCCTTTTCCCACCTATTTATTCCCAGGAATCCCCCTGTTTCCTGTGACCAATCTCCTGTTACCCTTACTGGCTGGGTTTGGCAACTCCTGTGGCCAGCGTATTCTGACTTGTCCATGGAAGGTCGCTGGCTGCACTGTGTTTTGTCATACCAAATCCGTCGCTTAACTATGTCCTTAGCTGCTCAACTCCGCCGACCTTTGGAGGAGATCATTCAAGCAGGAATGTGGATGACTCCCAATACATTCATAGCACACTATCTGCATGATTTTGCTGTGTCTTCCTTGATCGGGTATCATTGTCTTCCTGTGGCAATTCTCCACACATCTGTTCACTTTTGATTGGGTTAAGTTGACCTGTTATTATTTTGTATTTTTTTCAAATGATATACTTCATTGTTCAGGATCCCACCAAGTGGCAGGTGTTGCCTGGTCAGATATGCTGCATATTTGATCTTTGCCCTAAATCTGTGTATTTCTAAACACTCATTGTAGAGATGGGATGTTTCTGTAAGACCACTGGATGCTTTTCTGGTGGTATGTGTATATCTATCTATCCATATATTTATAAAAAATGTTATTATCAATGTATTTTATATAAAGGAGCATGACTCTTGGACTTCATGATTAAATAATATGTTGAACAATTGCCAGGTTTTTATATATTTTTATTTAAAGAAGGATGGTGTTATTTAATTTTGATATTATTGTTGCCTATGCAGTTTTAACTATATTTGTCTTTTCATTGACTTCATGAGTAAAGCAGATGGAGATTATTTGCCCATCCCCACTTACCCATGATTCTTATAATCTTGGTTTTTCTGCTTTTCAAACTAGGGAATCTTAAACACCCTTTGCACAGTTTCCAGTGTGTTGTTCCTCTGGACTCCCCAACATGTATTCTGTCCCTCTTTTTTCTTTTAGTTGTGAATTCTTACCACTCCAGTTCCCAGTTGCTGGAGTGGTGGATCTTGGAGGTTTCTCTTGAGTGGGGTTGTACAATGAAAGAAATCAAACCCATAACTTATAAGTACCCACTCAGCGAAAAGAGGACTGTTGTCGTTATTATTCTTGAATAGGCAATAACATACTATTCTGAATCCAAGGCACTTCACCCAGATGTTTTGTCTGGGCTGACCACACTTGTTGATCATATTATTCAAGCTTATGCAAGGTGCTTCCACTGGATGTTTCTGCTCAGTTGGACCACACTTGACTTACTCAATAGAATCTCAGGGCACTTCCACTTGATGTTTTTGCCCCGGCAGACCTCACTTGGCCATAATATTATATATCCAAAGCACTTCCCCTGGATGGTTTTTGCCTGGGCGAACCAATCTTGTTGATCTATGTAAATTATGCAAGGTGCTTCCACTGTTGTTTTGCCCAGATGGACCACACTTGGCATAATCCGACGTATCCCAAGGTGCTTCCCCTGGATGTTTTTTGCCTGGGTGGACTGCACTGGACCTATTCATGTACCATTTATAGTCCTTATCTGGCACTTTACTATGACTAATTATTCCTATATCACATACTATGACCTACTACATATGTGGACGAATAATGCACTGTTGACAATGGGCTGATTCCAAATTATCAGACAAAATTTCATCTCACTACTTGTTTATAATGCTTCCCCTGGTTTTTTAAGGGAAAGATTGCTCTCATTTCCAATATCCTTGACAAGACAGGACTCTTGGCACATATTTCATCAGGCCTGTTGTCGATTACATGCTAGACATTTCGTATGTCCCTTCTATGCTGATTCATGTCATAGTTATACCGCACTACTCCAAAGCAAATTACTGTACATCTTTTTCTTGGGTATATGGTGCCTGCCTCATACATTCCACCCTATATATATATATATTACTGTTTTGTTGCTGGGTGAGAAGCATACCTGTTCCAGAAGTAGTGCTATACCCCATAGGTGTGCCTTACTTTCTTCTTCTGACACACCTGTTCTTTTCAGGTGGCTGTTATCCACTTATACAAATACTGTTGGGCCTTTACCAGCCCCATCACCTTTTTCAATTTGGGATTCTAGTTTTGGGTGAGAGGAGGTAGTACCATTTTTAAAGTTAACCTTTTCTTACACTGAATGTGTATTTCTGATAGGTACTTACCTCCACTCACCCACTTCCCACCCTTCCTTCCTACTGTATGTTTTAATTTGTAACTGCCAATTTTCAAAAGTGAGGATTGTACTAGAATAACACCTATTCCTGCACTAGTATAGGTGGTGCAGTATGACTTGTGAAGGATACTCACATGATATGCACATTCTGAAATGGCACAAAAATAAAGGAGTATTATAGACTGGTGCGCTATTAGAGAAAAATGTTTTAACAATGCTTAAGGGCAAATCAAGGTCGAGATGGCTTTGGATGAGGTGAGGTAAAAACCCATCAGAAATACATTTTCATTCTCCAATTTAAATATTTTAGGATTGTCAATAAAATATTAAACATAAAATTATGACAGTTGTAATAAAAAATGTAAATGGTTCTGTTAAACGTACAGTAAACATAAAATGAAGAAATTATAAAAAGGATAAAACTTTGGTTAGCAGTCATCAGCCTTCTTGTGCAAAGAAAAAGAAAAGGAAAGCAGTTGATTTGTGGGGATATATTTTACTCCCACATTTAAGCTTCTGATACTGTAAGTACTGTGTTATTGCTTTAACTTTTATATATCTGAGTTATTTTTTCTGAAAATCAGTCATATAATCATAAGAAAATCAAATGATGATTAATTTTTACAGATCTTAGACCTATTGACAACAGAGGAGCTACTGAAAACATTACCAAGAGAAATTATTATTCCTCGTACATTTCAATTAAGGCCATTGCAGACCCTTTTTATAGCTGGACTTGCAAGAATTGATTTAATAAAGGTAAATGTTATTATAAGTAAAATAGATTATATGGTGATTACTGAGCCATAATTGATGTTTAAAAACAAATTAAAGAACTATGTCAGTAGGTAGGTCTACCAGTTATTATTCTGAGTGCACATTCACAACTCAACTTTAAGAATTATATTAAAAATACAATTTTATTTTGTCAAGTTTTTACTAAATAATTTTATAGAAGTGATATTTTAGCATTACACAAAGCTTATTTTGTTTCTTGAATAAAAATGCAAATGTGTTACAAACTCATTTCTGTTGTATCTGTAGAAGATCTGAACTGTAAACATTGAACTTCTAGATTTTTCATTTGTTGTATTTATTCTTTATTTCTTCATGCTGTCTCCTAAACACACATTTATTTCTCTCAGTCAAATTTTAATATTTTTGGTTTTTTACACCTATTTATTCAACTGTACATTTATTGGTTGAACTAGTTTATTGTACTGCTCACAGATTTTTTTCAGAAACTTGGAGATTCTTATCTTTGAAAATTATTCTGATCTTAAGCAAATAACCATCACAAAGATCATATTCTGATTTTTAACCTTATATAGTAGTGAATGAAAAGTATTGTACTGAAATTAGTTGTTGGTTTCAGAAATCTGAATTTTGATAATAATACCTTACCTCCTCTCAGTACTCCCTCTATATGCACAAATGTTTTCACTTGTCACTAGTCTTGATACTCCCACCTACCCCACTTATTTATAGTGGTACAGCTGTGCTGTAGCATGCATATAAGCATGCAACAACACTCCACCAATAGGAGTGTTACACTCCCTCTATACTGTAGAACCTAATCTTTGCTTCTCAATTTGGCACTGTAGCATGAAGTTTTTCAAATTTTGCTTGTGTTTGATGTAGATTTTTGTTTTTTAATTTCTTCAATAACTTAGTTGTTTCTGATTTTGTTTTTTCTATAATTTAACTTGAGTTCCTGTAGGTTGTTCCTTTTGTTTCCGCTTGCAGTTGAAATATGGTTTGCCGAATTTGAAATCACTAATACTACAGTAGTAGTTCACACTGCACTACTACTGCACCTCCATCTGCAGTTTTTCAGGCTTTTGGCTGAAATGGAATCCATTATGCAGTCTGTGATGTCTCCTGATCCTAGATTAGATATTCATTTTCTTTGTGAACCTAGACAAGATAATAATGACAATTTTGAAGCCTTTTTCAACCTTCTTCCTTTGCCATGCAATTCTGTCTTCCACCTGTGGATGCTCCCAGACTGTCTTCAGCCTTTATGGATAAGTAGTCATAGGTATGTTACCTTGTGTCTGTGTTCTCTATGATTTATGACTCTTCTCCTTCCCTATTGCATTCTGCCCCCTTCCCAGATCTGACTACCAGATTTTTCCTCTCTCTCCAGATATTGGGATCCAGTTTGTAGCAGTTTTGTTCTGGGGTCAGCATGCCTTATCCTCCTCATACCTTGGATAATTACACTTTGGTGTACCATCATTTGAATTTTCCATTTCTTGATTATCAAACCTCAGAGTCTTTGATCCAGCTGTGGGGTTCCTTCTGACCCTAATACATATGTGAGATTTACCTAAGCCTAATTTTTCTGCCTCTGTTTATCCCTCTCCACTCTCCTGAGATACCTCTCTTCCATCCATCTCCTGTCTGAGGCTATCCACAGCTCCCCTGCAAGGTTTTCAGAGGATATTCACTCCTTTATGTATTCCATGTTGGTGTGCTTGTCTTCCTCAGCCCTTTCCCTTCTGACATGGCACCTCTGTTGTTGGTATCTTGATATTGCCTTGTTTTTATGTACAACAGTTTTTGGAAATCTTCCTGATTCATTGGAATACTCCTCCCTTTCAACCTTGGTCTCTTGCTATTGCAGCTTTCACCTGCTCCAGTTTCCATTTCCCACCCTCCTCCTTTTAGCCCTTTATCTGTTCCTTTTTCCCAGATCGTGGTAGCTAACTGCCAAATTACTCATCACCAGGTCCCCCTAGCCCCCAATGGTACAGGTGATTATCCCGTAGGTTTTGGCAAGGTCAGAGTACATTTAACCAAGTTTGTGCATTTATGGAGTAATTTCACCTCAGATACTTGAGTGCTTCAGGTGTTGTCAGAAGGTGTTTCTCTTCATTTTCTCAATCCTCCTCTCTTATCCCCACATCCAACCCCCCCACCCCTTCAGGATCCTATTTATTGCCAACATCTCTTCAAACCAGTTCAGACTTTTTTTCTCAATGATTTTATAGAACCTGTCAGTCATCTATCTCCTCGATTCTATTCCAGATCTTTCCCAGTCTCAACTGCTTCATTGACTTTCTTCATTTCACCAAGGAGTTGTTCCTCACATTTTGGTGGGCATTTACTCTGGGTCTTTGGTTGATGAAGGTGGAGATCATGGATGATTACCTTCACTTCCTTATTTCCACAACATTCAGTTTTTAACCTTGTTTTGTCCACAAGGGTCGAGTTTATCAATTCTGGGCTTTGCCGTTTATCTTTGTGTCTGCTCCTTACATATTTTATCAGGTGGTCAGGGCCTTTTGCTCATTTTATCCATTCTCACTGCCTGTTATTAGCTCCATCCTGTCAGACCTTTCAAGAGCAAACCCAGGTGCTTCTTCGAAAAGTGGCTAAGTGGGTTGGCTTGTCAAGTTGGAGAAATTTCTTCTTCCAGCCCAATCCTTTATTCACTTGGGGGTGTTTTTCAACTACTGTCTCAGTCGTGCCCAGCATTCTCAACTTCATTTGCAAGTGATCGAGCTGTTAGTTCTCAAGGCTTAATCCTCTCCTTCTCTTACTGCATGCAAGGTTCTCTCTCTTTTCCAGACATTGACTTCCATGAAAACCCTCATCTCCTTTGGTTGTGCTCACATATGCACCATTCAATGGATGTTGCATGATCAGTGGAATCTTACTCAAGATATCCTGGACTTGGTTACACTTTTCTCTCCCTCACTACTCATCTATTTAGCCTGGTAGCCAACAGAGACAACACCACAATGGGTGTTCCTCTTCTGCTTCCCTGTCTGGAGTTGCATCTTTTTATGGATGCTTCTCTGATGGGTTGGGGAGGGATTATGCACATCAATATGCTGGAGCTTCTTGCCATTTGTTGAGCTCTGGATCATTTCCTGCCTTTAACTCTCCCAATACATGACCTTTTGTACTCACTTAAAGTTGATATAAATTTAATACTTATAACTCTATATATATTGGGTATATCTTCACGAAATTTGACAGTCTTTCAATTAATATTAAAAGTCTTTCACATACAAAAAGTCATATTTCTTAGTGAAGTATTTCTAATAAAATAAAGTTTTGTCCATGAATATATTGAGTATTT